CTCTCTCTCTCTCTCTCTCTCTCTCTCTCTCTCTCTCTCTCTCTCTCTCTCTCTCTCTCTCTCTCTCTCTCTCTCTCTCTCTCTCTCTCTCTCTGTATCAAATCGAAGTTATGAACCCTAGAATTTTATAATTGGGGGAAGAAATGCTTACGTTGGGTTTGTAATTTAGCTCAGGTCGGATTTTTTTGTTTGTTTAAAAAAATACAGTTTGACCCCAATAAACTTTGATTAAAATCAATTAAACCCGATTGTGATGTTGGCACCATATAATCATTAACTTCATGTATGTGACATGTATTAACATAAAAATCGTGTAATTATTGACACATTATGATACATTGGATGGTTTCCACCATATTAGATAATATGTCGTGTAGCTCGCAAACTTTTTCCCTAGATTTTTCTATCCATTTATATTGTTTAAATATATTGAGTTAATGTGTATAAAATTAATAAAAGTGATAAAATTGTATTATTAGCAAAAATTTACTAAACAATATTTACAAAAATTTTAGATATATAAAAAACTAATGATTTTACGATTAGAAATTTATATTTTAAAAAAACTATAGCAATTTTTGAAAATTTTTGTAATACAAATTGTATAATCTAAAAAATAAAATAGAATAATATTTCAAAATTTGTAATGTTATATTTGAATATATTATTTTAAAGATGATGTATGATTTATTGTCATATTTTAATTATATAAAAAAAGGAAGAGAAGATTGATATCATACTCTAAATACAAATGATTAATAAAGTTTCATAAAGAATAATAATATATACCGATAGGACAAAAGTAAAGCATATTGGTTCATAAATCAATTTATGAGTTCTTGCCATATTTTAATTTATGGAAAAGGAAAAGAAGATTGACATCATACTCTAAATACAAATGATTAATAAAGTTTCATAAAAGAAGAATAATATATCTCAATAGGACAAAGGTAAAACATATTGGTTCATAAATCAATGAGAAGAAGAATAACCTCTCCATTATTTTACAGAGTAGTTGAAAAAGTATGACTCGAATGTCAGAAATAATGGAAGAGGAAAAAAGATTGACGTCATACTCTAATTACGAAGATTGACTTCAGAAATTAATTATTGTCAAGACTATTTAAAAACTAACATAACTTAAAATTATTAAATACAGCGGGGCCATTGTCAAATAATTTTTATTTTATTTTTTCTTTAACCGACTGACTTTTTATTTGATCTAATATAACTGATTATGTTTCTTTTTGACTTCATAAATTAATTATTGTCAACAGTGTCACGGTATTTCAGACGGAATGTAACATAAGTTAACAGAATTAAAAATGAAAGTTTATTTTATAGTATTTTTAATTGAAGATTTATTTTACCATTTATCATTAGTTGAAGGTTTTAATTACTAAAAACCCAAATATATATTATGAACTTTGTTTGTTGTAATATATTGTGAAACTCAATGGCCAAAAGAAAAACCTTATCAAGCCTATTGGTTTATTTCACATAGAGGCCTATGTGGATGGTTTAAGGCCCATTAGGAACTATTTGGCGCCATCGGTAGCTATACACTCCCGCCCAAAAATCTCTCTCAAAGCCTTAAACCTCAGAGGTCAAAGCGATTCATCCTCTCCAACAATTAGAGCAAACTACCGACGAGCGATTCATCTTCTCCACTAAGGTAAAATCTTTTCTCAAACGACTGTTTTATCTTATCTACGGCCGATTAGTAGATCTCTCTTTAGCCCATGTTTCTGAATATAAAAATTGATCATATCGATCACTTTTCTATAACTCAAATCAGATTTCAAAAAATGGATACTTCAAGCCCTTCAGCTTTCGTGAACGGATCTCTCATGAGGCGATACATCGGCCAGAAAGTCAGAACCGTGGTGCAAGTCATCGGTTCAGACGTCGGATCCGTTGTCGGAAAATCTACCGACGATCTTCAGATCTTCGTAAAGGGATCGCCACCCACTACTCCTACTACTTACCTCGAGGTTATTGGTATTGCAGAGAGTGAGAACTCCATACGAGCTGAAGTTAAGACCAATTTCGGAAACAATTTTGGTAATTTCATTGAATTTTTCTTTTTTTTCTTTTTTGAGTTATATCAGAACGATGCATTGATTTGAGTTTCGTTGTTTTGTATGTCTTGAAGATTTGATTAGTTAAATGTTTTGTGTTGTAGATCCACTCAACTACAACGAGCTGTGTAAGCTAGCAAACGGGGAGTTCAAGCATTTTTTCATCTAACATTGTGATGATGATGTGAGCGATTCTATTGTAATCTTGTGTAATCGAATGGAGAATGCTTTATGTATTTTAGTGACGTTATTTGACTATTTTAAGAGCTTTACTCTATATTCCAAGTTTCCAACTAAGTTTCAATTCTGCTTCAAAACTTTTGTGATGAAAAATTTGGCAACCATATGTTGTGAGTCTTGTGACTGTAACACCCGCAACAAGGACTACATTGTCCTAATGCTAGTGCTTTACAGTGTATACGTGCACCCATATCGTGTCACAGCTGCTCTCTGTCCAGACGGGATCAGCCATCTCCATAGAATCCCATGTGATTTGAGGCAGAATCGTCCAAGCTCCATCGTCATCTTTACACGGGTTGAATATGCTGGACTTACCTGCAAAAACCAGGACGTCATATGTTAGACCATAGAGATCTGATAGAGTGAATAGGGTTATGATTTCCTTCCGTTTTAGGACATACGACACAACTTGAGGGTCAAAAAGAAATACCATTTCCAAGCAACAAGAGTTTTTACTTAGTTGTGGAGACTACACATGTTCCCTCTTTATTGCTATCTGCTTTGATGCACATTTACTCGGTTATTAAGTTTAAATCAAAATTTCAAAATTATTATAAAAAGTAAAAAAAAAATGTTAGCAATGTTTATTAAATAAGTAGATAATTTTATAGTGAAGGCACAGAACAAATAATTTAACAATAGTTTCGTAAATACAACTTTCTTTAATATTGAATTACTAAATTCATTATTTTATATATATATATATATTTGTTTTAATGCAAAATAAATAAGAATAAATTACACATTAATAAAAATAATTTTGATAATATTTTAACTGGTTATTACTTGTTAGGCCAAATTTGGCTCAAAAATGATAAAAAAAATAGTTTTTGGGTATGTTTACAAATAAAATTTAGTATTATTAATTTTTTGTGTTAATAAAGAAATAGTTGTAATATTTAACAATGATGTGCTAAAAAACTTTTTAAAAGAAATACATATGTAAACAATAAAATGAATTTTAAGTAACAAACTGAATAAACACAAAAAAAAAAAAGAACTGCACAAATCTCCACCTTACTTGAAGGGGGGGGGGGTTTCGCATTATCAGATCTCCCCTAATTTACAACCACTAACCAATCTTAATGGGTAATAATAAATTAATAAAGGTTTTGTTTTGTCAGCTTATATATATTCTAAAAGATACAAATACTAAAAGAACTCAATAAAAAGGTGAGTAGACCCAATCATTTCCCTAAATAAAGGGTTCACAGTGAGCTGCGGGAAACAACACTTGATCGTCCCCTCCGTTACAATTCTTAAATTAGGGTTCTCTTCCGGCACCTATCTATCGCCGCTCAGGTACTTTCTTCGCCTCATCTCAATGCGCCTTTCTCGAATTCGTGTCCTTTCTCGAATCTTTAAAGTCGAGAATCCGATTTTGTTTCCCTCTCTATTGAAACTGGGATCTGGAGCTCATCGTACCTGAAATTGAAAAGTGTCTGCTCTCATTACCGATGATTTGCTAAGAAACTATAACGCCTCTGATTGATATTACAGTTAGTTTAGCTCTTTATATGGCCGTGTTTGGTTGATACTGGATTCGTGCAAATTACTGAATAGAACTCTAGTTACGTTACAAGGTGGGGCTTTTGTTAATGGGCTAAAAGATTGTCACTTGAACGATGTGTGTTGGAATCTTAACATGAAACTGGGACCTAGAGCTCATCTAATCTGAAACTTACATTCTCATTTCTTGCTTCTTTCGTCTCTACCAATGATTGCTATGTAGCTCAAACGCATCAGATAGATATCACAATGGGTTTAGCTTTATACGGTTGTGGCTGGGGGTTGTCTTTGGTTGGTATCATTATAGCCTTGTTTTTTTTTCTGCTTGATACTGGAGAAAAGCACTGTGTGGTCTATTCCTGCAAAGAACTCTAGTTATAAGCTGAAGGTTCTCTTAACAGGTTATAAAAAAAACTATCATTTGAACAATGTGTGTTGGGAGATCTTAAACATGGAGCTGGAGTTTCTCTAAGTACTAATAACATTGGTATAACTTATGGCACCATCTTCCTTATCTTTCTTGTTGACAACCACCTCTTTGCATCTAACCAATGCCTATGATTATCATTTTTTTTTGTTTTCTTTCCGGTTCTCAGGATTATTCATACCTTTTCTTTCTTGATTTTTTTTTTTTTTAATTTCGTAAGCATTCATTGCCCTCTTCTCTCCTGGTCTGTTGTTTGTTTGATAGCCGTATTGATGGCAAAGTCTCTTTTCGAACTTCTTTATCTTCTTTTCTATTGGCGGCCTCTTATTGTTTCTTTTCAACCCTTTTCCCCCTATTCTATTCTCTCTTCCCACATGCTTCTTGCTTCTGTGTCTCTTCCACAGTTGCAACGCCAGTGTTTCTTTTCTAGGTTCTTAGCATGTCGAGGACGAGGAATCACGATTCCATGGAATCTGAGGAGAGGGTAGACCTTGATGGTGACAATGATCCCGAGGAGATTCTGGAGGAGGAAGAAGTTGAGTACGAAGAAGTTGAAGAGGAGGAAGAGATTGAAGAAGAGGTGGAAGTAGAAGTAGAAGAGGATGATGACGATGATGATGCTGCTGCTATGGGAGAAGAGGAAGAAGAAAAGAAAAAACATGCTGAACTCTTAGCACTTCCTCCTCATGGCTCAGAGGTGTATCTTGGAGGCATTCCTACTGATGCTTCTGAAGGAGACTTGAAGAGATTCTGTGAATCCATAGGCGAAGTTACCGAGGTAACTTTTACATTTGATTTACCCCTATAATATGGCTTTGCTTGCTGAGTTTGGTGTGTGATTTACAGGTTCGGATAATGAGGGAGAAAGAGTCTGGTGATGGAAAGGGGTACGCGTTTGTAACATTCAGGAACAAGGACTTAGCATCTGAAGCTATCGATAATTTAAATAACTCTGACTTCAAGGTAAGTTTCTTGAATCCAAGTTTTAACAGCTATGTCCTATCCATGGCTTGAAGTTAACCTTAAGCTATGTTCAATAGGGTAAAAGGATAAAATGTTCAACCACGCAAACAAAGCACCGTCTGTTTCTTGGTAATGTTCCTAAAAATTGGACAGAGACAGACATAAAGAAAACAGCAAATGGGATTGGTCCTGGTGTTCTAAATGTCGAACTCCCAAAGGTTTGTCCTTTTTTAACATTCATCTCTCTTTCATGTCTAAATATAACTTTCAATCTGATTTTGTTTAAATCATAGGATCCACAAAATATTGGCCGTAATCGTGGATATGCATTCATCGAGTATTACAACCATGCATGTGCTGAATACTCGAAACAGAAGATGTCGGATCCGAGTTTTCAGCTTGATGATAATGCCCCAACTGTAAGCTGGGCTGAATCAAGGAGTGGAGGTGGAGACTCTTCTGCTTCACAGGTTTACTTCTATAAATCCTATCTTACAACATAGTGTCAGTACAAGAAATAATCTTCTTAAGAACATGTGTTTTTTGTGCAGGTCAAGGCATTGTACATCAAGAACTTGCCTAGAGATATAACACAAGAGCGCCTAAAGGCATTGTTCGAACATCACGGGAAAATCTTGAAAGTTGCGATTCCACCTGCAAAACCAGGGAAGGAAGACAGTAGATACGGTTTTGTGCACTACGCAGAGAGGACAAGCGTCATGAAAGCTTTGAAAAACACTGAAAGATATGAGATTGATGGTACGGGTTCATTCAGAATGATATTTTTTTTTTCTTGTTTATGTACATTCTCTGTAATGTATGCACGTTACTATTCTACTTCTACAGGTCACGTTTTGGATTGTACACTTGCAAAGGCTCAAGCGGATCAAAAGGGTAGTACAACAACAGCTCAGAATATGCAGACATCACAGTTGCAACCAAACTATCCTCCTCTTCTTGGTTATGGCATGGCACCGAGTCCCTTTGGTGCTCTTGGTGGATTTGGCGCTTCTCCTTACACGCAAGTGAGATTCTTTCCTTCAACTAAAATGCTTTGTTCTTGAAAAAACATAAAACATAATCTAAATTTGTGGGGATTATGCAGCCGTTTATGCATGCGGGAGCTCACGCAGCTGGTGGGATGGCGATGATGCCAATCATGTTACCCGATGGAAGAATAGGCTATGTCTTGTAAGTCTCTGTTTATACACTTGTGTACTGATCTCTAGCATTTTGCTATAAGACATGTGTACTGATCTGATGTGTTGACCATTGATAGACAACAGCCTGGACTAGCAGCAGTGCCACAACCACCACCAAGGCATTCACCACCATATAGGGGAGGCAGCGGTTCGAGCAGCAGCAACAGCAGCAGACGAAGTAGTGACAATGGCAGAGGAAGAAACCGTTACAATCCTTATTAGTAACTTCATCGTTTCTCTATTTGAAAAAAACTCACCCACCCAAGTCAACAAAACAAAAGGTCAACGTTAACCAATGTGTTCTTTTTTTTTGTCCATTTGTTTAAGACTCTTGAAGATTTTGTAGGCGGAAATGGGGTTTCCTTTAACTTTAAGATTATGTTTTGTAACATTATTTGTTTACTTATGTTTTCGCCAGTTGCTTGTGTATGATCCAAGCCAAACGTTATGAATGAAAAATCGCATCGTCATGGTTGTTTTAGAAGATAAATCGTAACGAATATGATTTTCCCCTTTTTTCTTACTTCACGTACTTGTTTCAGAAATGCGGAACACCAACACCAGCCAGGAAAGTATTCTGGTTTGACCCGGTTGAAAAAAAATCATTCTCTTTACCCTATCAAAATTCTATCTACCTTACTTATTTTTCTCATATTTCGTTTCTCTTTATTACCCTCACTATTATCTCATTATAATATGATGCGGTCCCCTCCATGTTTTTCTATCCTATTTTTTAAACATTAAAAACAGATCTCTTTCCACCTCATAAAACCCAACGTTAATACACAAACCTAACTGCCAACCCCACTTCAATCCACCTCTCTCCTTCCTACACCTGTCCCTCCTGTCTCCTTTCTCCCATCTTGCTTCCTTTTCCCCAACCACCATCGAACCACTTTTTTCCTTGACGATTTGGGAAGGATTTTTGAGGTAAATTCATATTTTTTCACGAAATTTTCATAATAATTTACTACTTACGTTCTATGTGTTATGTGTAACGAAAAATATGAATGTATTGCTGTAAAAGTTGTGAGAGTTTTCAAATTGTGAGAGTTTTCAAAGAAAAATGAAAATAATGTTTGAAAAAGATTATGTATTTTCTCTACTCTTAACACGGTTTTGAAAGAAAAAAACATAAAAATTGTTGGGGACGATAATCTGGGTTGTGTAAGACGTTGTAAGTTGATTTAAAAGACTTAAACCGTTGAAAAATGAAAGTTTTAGGTAAAAATGAAAGTTTTAGGTAAAAATGAAAGTTTTAGGTATATTGTTATGAAAAAGAGTATTTAAGGTCGATTTTGTATATTTATTCTTATTTTGAACTGTTTTCTAGCAAAGTAATGCTTTACAATAGTGGTAGACGATATTGTGGGTTGTATAACACCCTCTTGGTCAGTTAAAAGTGTTAAATCGAGAAAAATAAAAGTTTATAAGAACTACTGGAACTACTGGTATTACTAAAGTGAAATGTGTATTACTTGTATTACTGGAACGACTATATACAAAAGACCTTGAACAACTTTGATTCTTTAAATGGTTAACTAATCATAATTTTAATTTTTGTTTCAGGTAAATCTATGGTATGGCCTCTGCTATTACAATCATATATTTTGATTACGGAGGAAGTTACATCAAAGATGGGGGGTGAGATAAGATGGATCTCGGGAGAAGATGAAATTCACACTTTAGTGATGAAGATAACTATGGAAGAGATTACGTATTCTGAATTGCTTGAGAGTATATGCAGAAAGATTAAGGCAAATAGAGATGGGATGGTGAAGATTAGTTACTTTCCAATGGTATTGTATTCGAAGAAGCCATCATATATTTGGTGTGATGAAGACGTTTTGGGCTATCTCATGAAAGTAAATCATGATAACTGTAGAAGTGTTTTACATGTGGAGATCAGCAGAGACATGGATGATACATGTGGTGGTCAGTCACTTTCAGGAGATGATGATGAAACTGATGATAGCTATAATGGTCTTTCCGATGGATATGATCATGGAATTGATGATAGCTACGTTGGTCTTTCTGGTGGAGATGAAACTGATGATACCAAGAATCATGGAATTGATCAAGATAGAACTGATCATGATCATGAGATGGATGGCGTGGTCGGCCTTTACACAGTCCAACAACATGAAGACATTGAGATGCATGAGAATTTAGAGAATGAGTATGAAGGTGAAGCTGCAAGAGCGGAAGTTGAAGCCACGACAGCAGTAGTTGAAGCCACGACAGCAGTAGAAGAAGAATGGGATGATGGTCTCGATTTGGTTAAGGGTCAAGAATTCAGAACTAAGACAACCATGCAAGTTCTAGTTCAGAGGGGTGCACATAAGAATGGTTTTGAGTATGACACAATTAAGTCTGATACTTGGAGGTTTGTGGCAAGATGTCGAGGACATAAAGAAGGTTGCAAATGGTATTTGCGTGTAGCAAAGCTTAAGAATTCAGATTTTTGGATGGTTAGAACTTACATCAAGTCTCATACATGCTCAGTGGTAACTACAAGTACCCTTAGAAATATAAGGAGAGGCACACCACAAATTATCGCATCTGTTTTGAGTGAAGAATATCCCGGTAGATATGACACACCAACACCAAAAGATCTTATCAGTATGGTTACCCACATGGTTGGTGTTGATGTCTCATATGCCACAGCATGGAGAGGGAAAAGGATGGCGGCTAATGAAGTCCGAGGTACTCCAGAAGAAAGTTTATCTATGATACACTCTTACATGTACATGCTTAAGTTGAAGAATCCTGACTAAGTAAGTTATGTTGACGTGGATGCGGCGAAAAGATTTAAGTATCTATTTTTTGCATTTGGAGCTTCCATAGAAGGGTTCGCAGCGATGAGGAAAGTTATCATTGTGGATGGAACACATCTTAAGCATGTTTATGGTGGAGTTCTTCTTGTTGCGACGGCTCAAGATCCTGATCGTCACCACTACCCTATCGCATTCGGTGTAGTTGATGGTGAGAAAGAAGAAAGTTGGATGTGGTTTATGAATAAGTTGAGGTCAGTGATATCAGATGAAGGCGAATTGGTGTTTCTTTCGGATAGAAATGCAGGCTTGATCAAGTCAATACGTGAGGTGTTCCCAACGGCCGCACATGGATATTCTATCTGGCATTTGTCTCAAAATGTCAAAGGACATGTTTTCAACAACAGAGACGATTGCGCAAAAATGTTTACAGAGTGTGCACATGCTTATACAGTGGCTGAGTTTGATGATCTCTATGTTGAATTTTCCAATCGGTTTCCTTCTGCTGCGGCCTATCTGGAGAAAAGTGTTGAAGTGAGAAAATGGGCAAGATGTTACTTTGAAGGAGACAGATACAATGTTAACACAACCAATGCAGCAGAATCTATTAATGGTGTTCTTCTTGTTGCCAAGAAATACTTCATGCTACCGATGATTGATGTTATCATCAAGAAAATGAATGAATGGTTTAACAAGCATAGGAAGAAGGCAGCTGAAATACCACTCACAAAGAAGTTTGTGCCAACAGTGGAAAAATAGTTGGCAAAAACATGTTTGGAGGCGAGGTGTTTAGATGTTGTTGAGATAAACAGCTTCCACCTTGAGTACAATGTCAATGGTAGTGACAGAAAGATTTATACGGTTGATTTGACAAGAAAAATGTGCACCTGCAGGCGTTTTGATATAGACAAAATCCCATGTGTTCATGCTGCAGCTGCTGCCAAATTCTGGAGCGTAGGAAGAGATGTTCATCTACAAGAGTTTTGTACGAAATACTACTTGGTGGAGTTGTGGGCCTTGACATACTGTAGGACGATTTATCATGTTCCTCATATGTCTGAATGGGTCATACCAGATGATATTCGAGCACTTAAAGTTCTTCCCCCGTTATATGAAAAAAAGAAAGGACCCACTCAAAAGAAAAGGTTTCCATCAGCTGGAGAATCTCGTGGAAGAAGAAGAGGCAGGGGCAGGGGAAGAAGAGGCGGACGTTTGTATGAGTATTTTGAAGGTGGAAGTACTTCTGCCACCGCTGAGTAGCATGGGACTCTTGTCCTTTGAACTAGTAGGTAACACTGAACTACTAGGTACTACTTGGAACTACTATGTGTAACTTGAACTACTAGAAATTACTTGGAACTACTATGTGTAACTTGAATTACTAGGAACTAATTTGTACTACTTTGAACTACCTTAAACTACTTTGTATTACTATGTGTTGCGTATTTTTATATTAACCTTCATTTTCGTTTTATTATTTATTTTTAGATGACGTATCTCATATATTACGTGATTATATGTTCATATCTGTGTATATTTGCGCAGGAAGACATAAAATATACTTAAATTCTCAAATTTGTAGAAAACTTCTCATTTCCATAGAAAATCTCCTTTACTTCCTTACAAATGTCTTGATGGGAAGGCCATAATGAGATGAATTTCAGAAAATACATTATTTCTAAAATTTGTTTCTGCCAATGTGTTATATACAATCTAAAACTGTTTAAATACACTGGTATTACTAATAAATTTAACTTATAGAGGTTGTATTACTAAAAATGCGTAAATTTGTAAAAATATTACTATGAAGAATGAAATATTACTAGTAGCTTGTGAACTACTAAGAGTAAATTTAATATTCAAACATGTTTGTTTACTAACACGTTTTAGACATGTGCCATAGGTTTTTTAATTCTTTTTACAAGGTGTGGCTAATGTGTTACACGTTTTAGACATGTGTCTTAAGTTTTTTTTTTTTATTAAAGTGTTGACAATGTTTTCTCTTAGTAATACATAGTATACCTAGTAGTACAACTATGTTTTCTTAAGACATAGATTGCCTTGAACTTTTGGGCCAAACCTGTTGCAAGACAATCACACAACACAAAATAATATTCAAGTTTTACAGATCAACTAGGCCTGGGCATTTTACCCGGACCCGAAGACCCGACCCGAAACCGACCCGAAAAAACCCGGTCCGGGTAGGAACCGACCCGATCAAATTACCCTATCGGGTCTTGTTGTGGAGGACCCGCGGGTCTTGGACCCGACCCGGACCGAACCCGAAACCCGATGGGTACCCGAATTAATAGTGTAAATTAAGTAAAATGCATTGAGGGGGAGTCGAAGACGGGTTGTTTCTATAGAGAGTAAGGGGGTCAACCACTAGGAGACAACGAATTGTTGTTGTATCTCGCATAGTTTAATATATATACACATTTTAATATAATAAAAACACAAATTTTGAATAAAATTTTGAATATTTTCGGATATATAAGTATTTTCAGATTTTTTTATATATATTTAGGTATTTTTTAGGTCGAACCCGAACCGAACCCGACCCGAAACCGAACCGAATCCGAACCGATAAATTCTAGTTACCCGAATGGGTCCAACTATCTAAGACCCGACCCGACCCGGACCCGGTACGACCCGAACCGAACCGAAACCGAAAATTTGAAATTACCCTATCGGGTCCTAAACCCGAAAGACCCGGACCCGAAA